ACTAACTTGATAATTTTTTTAATGTACATGAATTAGTTATTTAATTATTGCGTACATTTGGGATGGGGAATGTGAAATACTCCTCCGGTTCTTAATATATATGACGTGTGTTGAGTTAATTATAGTCCTAAATATAAGATCTATTTATTATATTTATTAATTTTTTTAAAATTACTTCTATTGATATTAATGAAAGAAATGAAAGATATTAATGAAGATGACTGTGACGTTTTAAAAAAAACATGCCATATTTTTTATAATTGACTAATTCATCTAACTTTTTTAATCTAATCAAATTAGTTAAATAAGTCATATATTAAGGACCGGAGGAGTATATTATATTTCTTGAGGAATGAAATTACATACATACCCTTTACATTTTAAAACTATTATCATTTATTTATTTAGTTTGCTTTTGTTTTAAGATTTATTTTGTTTCAGAAATACAAGGCCTCATCAAATTTTCTTCCAACTGTTCACTCATTTAATAGTATGCGTAACTAATTATTCTTCCAGTTATTAATATAAGATTATTAACTAATTTGAGTATATTAAAAATGTTAGTTAAATTAATTAATATGATATGTTTTTTTCTAAAATACCTCAAGCATTTTTCATAATTCTTTCATCACTCTTCTACTTGATTATTATTGAGAAAATATCAATAGGATTAATTTGGAAACAAATTGATAAACATGTTAAACAAGTGTTACACATAGAATCAATATCAACTTTTTAATTAAATCCTATATTAAAGACTAAAAAAACATTTCTTTAATTTTATTTATAAGTTACTTTTAGACATATTCAAATAAAAAAATTTAAATCTTAGTAACTAATCTCGTGTTTAATGATGATGGCTTTGCGAAGGGGACAAAGGATCGGAGCAAGTCACCCTGATCATATCTGTTTGATTTTTAGAGAGAAGGAGATGGGTCAGATCCATATGGCATGCCATGTGTACCATTTTGGCCAAATAAAAATGCTAACATACCACAATGGAATAGTTTGATGACAAACTAAACCTGTCAGATTTAATCTCAACTGTTCAGATTTCAAATTTTTTATTTTTATTTTCAAACAATTATTTTAATGAATGTATAATATAAAATAAATATAATTTTCTAATTACGCATTTTAAAAACAAATTTTTATTTGAAATATAGATTGTCCAAATTTAATTAGTTTCGATGGTTATCATGATGAGCACTTAAACCTAAACCAAGCTCGCAGGAGACAACATCGCTCCCTCTTAAAATATTTAAGAGCTAAGAATTTTTTGTTTGCCAAACATTAACCAAGAAATATGCAACATCAATATTTTTTTAAAAAAGAAATTAAACTGGACAACAATTGGCTCATTTGATTAACAAACTCGTAATATTTTTGGGAAGACATTTTTTAAAAGCCCCGCTAATCTAGCGGGTCTGACACATTTTTCCTTCTTCGACTATTGGCATGATATATGGCTTTTTTTTTTGGGGGGGGGGGGAAGCTCAATGGAAATTGGTTTAATAAAATGAGCTAATTTTTTTTAGAGATGGCCATATTTAGTTTATGATAGTATATCAAATAGAATTATTTTTAATAAAAGGATAGATATATGTAGAGAGAGAAAATACGCGGGGTTCAAACATGATAACATTGGAGATGGAAAATGAGAAATATTAAATTGATGTCAAATAAAATATGGGAGAGTGGTGGGGGCTTCCACATGGGAAAGTCGTTCCGACACGTGCTAAACAGAGGAAAAGTAGAACAAAAAAATATAAAATAAAAAAGGTTATCTCCACGATAGGGGTGAAGAAAACGTGATTTTAATATTTAATTAAGATAATAATAATTTAAAGAGGAGCAGGAATTAAAATAAAAATATATTAGCTGTCAGAGCAAGTGGAGGTTGGGAGGAGACGAAGAGTACGACGAAGGGCATGAGGGACTGCGTGTGATAAGTGATAACTACGATAACGTGTGCCCCCCATCTCCTTTTGCTTTGTCCCAAATTTTCGTCACTTAACTAATTAATTACGCTGTCGTTTTTCTAACAGGGTCATTAAAAAATATGATTAATTAGTATTACCTTTTATTCTAATTATAAGATCTTTAAATTATGAATAAAATCTTATAAGTAGAATCGAAAGTAATAATAAGAAAAAAAAAGAAAGAGTAATTGATTCAATTAATAAATAGTTGACCTATAATTCACAATTGTGAATTCAAATTGTGCTATTAATGACCCCTCGTCCTCAGGTTTGACACTCTCACAATTTAGAAGAGGTTCGATCATGAAGTTAGTCAAGATATTAGGAGAGGCATCTTCACAGCTGAGTAAAGTTGAGAGATTTGTACCTATTAAGACACATAAAAAAAAGACTTATTTGTTATGTTGCTGTAGCTGTAAGGATAGGTTTTGATAGATCATGAGTTAGTTTTCATGCTTCTCTTTTTAAAATATTTGTAACAAAAAAATTCTGCTATTAATATGAAGGTTCTATTAGTGAATAATATGTAAAAACTGTTGTAAGTGTCGTCTGAGTCTAAAAATGTATCTCAAGCGGAGTCAAACCGAACTTACCTGAATTTTTTATTTATAAATAAAAGGAGGGGCATGGTGCGGGGGAAGGGGATTCGGGTCAAAGCAGCGTGGCAATTATTTGAACCGCGTTGGCCGAGTTTTTGAAGGGATTTACGGAGCCGCTCTTTCATGGAAACGGAGCTGCGGGGAGTTTGTCAGTTTCGTTGTCGCCGTCCATTTTTTCGCCCTCTCAATCCGCATATCGTTGTCGTCAACCCCACCCACCTATTTTCTATTAAAAAAAAATAGTTTGCTTCGCAAAATATGATGTTGTTTGTCGTTTGTGGAAGTTGAGGGGGACCTAGACATAGAAAATGCAGAAGGCATAAGAAATATCATACCAGCTAGCCGATAATTCCTTCTTTTTTTTTTTTGTTGATTGAACCCGCACATATATTCTGGAATTCAATACCCTACCCATAAAATATTGCTTTTCCAAATGAAACCAGAGCGGCCTTTGCATTGCTGGTAACTACTGAAAATCTAAAAATAGTTCAAATTTGTTTAAATACCCATGCTTGACTTTTTTTTAGTGGCTACAAACTTTTTTTTTTTTTAGTTATATGCTTTTAAATGAAGTTTTTCTCTAGCCACGTAGAACATATATTTAACTATAAGTAAAATGAAAATATCGACACATAATTAAATATATATTGCACATGATTAAATAAAATTTATCTCTGCTAAAAAAATCTAAATCTCTAAGTAATAAATTTTATAATGTGATACTTGCCAACAATTTACTCGGCTAAATATTCCCATTCTATTCATGCAATGCAGGTGCTTTAAAATATTAAACATATTTTATATTGTGTGCACTTATACACATGTGATGGTTAGATGCATTGTGCTTATCGATATATAGGACATGTTTTGTTTCTAATATAGAGTATTAATTTATTGAGTATGTATGTGATTGTATATAAAGTGCAAGTATTTTGAATTTATAAAATTGGCTGTATATAACATGTAATGTTGGATCTCACCTAATACACTCTTTACATCATAGCGTGTTTTATATTTTAAATGTTTTATCAAATAATAGTTTTAATCAATACGCATGATTAGTAAAAAGTATTTTAAAAAAGACAACAGTTATATATTACCAATAACTAGTTTAATTAATTTTTTTAATTTTCTCAAATTAGTTAATTAGTTCTGAAGATAGTAATAAGTTTTGTTTTGGAGTTTGAATTATGAGAATATTCGGAAAAAAGGGAGAAAAATAAATGGAGCAAGGGGGGAAGGCTGGAGCTCAAAACGTTCCATGGCAGAATCACGAGCAGATAACAACGTTTTTGCGTTCAGTGAAGATGATGATGCAGTGGACAGCTTCTAAGTGGACACCCAATCAACACTTGCCACGTCCTACAACTTCTCACTGCTGTTTCCGTGCTTTTGCTTGGCCTCACTCTCAACCCCCTCCTCAATTCTAACTTCAAATATAATTACTTCTAATATATTTTACTAGATAAATAAAAATTTTAAATTTTGTTTAATATCATTTGGAAATAGTTTCCCCTTCATCTTCCTTTTGTTTCATTTAACCTGATACCATGCATCTTTTTTCAATTTACTTTTGGAGTAAAATAACATATTTTAAAAATTAAAGTGTCGTTTAAAATAAATGAAAGACAAATTAAAAAAAAAGCATATCATATTCTTACATATTTATTATATTTCTTTTTCTGTGCAGTAATTTTAAAGAACAGACTTTTTTTTTTTTCAAAAAACGATATATATAATAAAACAAAAATATTATTGGTTCTTATTTTAAATATAGGAATTACTTGAAGAGATTATTTTGTGTTAAATATAAGATATCAATTTATCATATTCTAAATTTCTAATATTCACATCATTAGAAATATCAAAAGGAGACCTTACTTAATGAGATGGTTGTCACTATAAATGATTAATGAGGTGCTTGAGAAAAATCAAGCCACTACTCCCTCTTAGTTCTTATTACTACAAGCCATTAACTAGAAGGTATTCGTATTTAATAAGGATAGTGAAAAAGAATAAAAATTAATATAATGTTAGTGGTTAATATAGCTAATAAGAATAATATTAAAAATCTAACATTTTTACTTGCTTTTTATTGGTGTGTGACAATTAATTAGAAATGACTTGTAATTGCCACAAAAAGAGTATTTACAAAAATAATTAATTTAATTTTTTGCCTGAATAAATTAATTATCTAAGGCATGAGAGGAAGCGTTTATCAGAGGGCAGTATTGACGAATTTTTTTTGCCAAGGGCAGTATTGACGAATTTAATACTGCAATAATTGGTTTTCGGGGAACCCGGAGTTAATTATTAATTAATCTTACAATAGCAGGATTAAAACGCCGTCTTTTCCAGCATGTGTCTCCGATTATCGCCATGCCTTTTTACTAGAGGCCACTTTCTTTCTTGCTTCGCCCCTCCGTCCTCTTCCCTGTGTCCCTTCTTTTTTAACCTAAAATTCAACCCAAATTCACTCCAAAATCCAAATGAACCCCAAATCCACCCTCAACCACTAGCTGCCTCACTCTCTTCCGTCTCTCCCTTGTTCTTCCACTTCCGCCACACACTCTCTCTCTCTCTCTACTCCCCTCCTCTCAGAAACTTCCTCAGGACCTGTCTTTCTCTCTTCGTCTGAGGTTTTTTTCAGGCTAACTGGTGGATGAATGACAGACTATAGGTCGCCGCCGACTATGAACCTTTGGTCCGATGACAACTCCTCCGTTATGGAGGCTTTCATGAGCTCCGATCTATCCGTGCTCTGGCCTGCTCCGCCTCAGCCCCAGTCCTCTGCTTCCACTACTACTCCTGGACCCGACCCCACCAAGCCTCTTCCTCAGTCTCAGTCTTCCGCTGCTCTCTTCAATCAAGAAACCCTTCAGCAGCGCCTTCTGGCTTTGATTGAAGGTGCCAGAGAGAGCTGGACCTATGCTATCTTTTGGCAATCGTCGTACGACTACTCCGGCGCGTCCTTGCTCGGCTGGGGCGATGGGTACTACAAAGGGGAGGAAGATAAAGGAAAAGGGAAGGCCAAAACGCTGTCGTCTGCGGCGGAGCAGGAGCACCGGAAGAAGGTTCTACGCGAGCTGAATTCCCTCATTTCTGGATCCTCTGCCCCCAGCGACGACGCCGTGGACGAAGAAGTCACCGATACGGAGTGGTTCTTTCTCGTTTCCATGACTCAATCGTTTGTCAACGGCGACGGGTTACCGGGTCAGGCCTTCTACAATTCTACCCCTGTCTGGATCACCGGTGGGGAGAGGCTGGCGGCTTCGACCTGCGAAAGAGCGAGACAGGGCCAGGTTTTCGGGCTTCGGACTTTGGTTTGTATCCCATCGGCGAATGGGGTGGTGGAGCTGGGATCCACTGAATTGATTTTCCAGAACTCGGATCTGATGAACAAGGTGAAAGTATGGTTCAATTTCAACAATCCCGAAATTGGTTCGTGGCCTCTCATGACTCCTAATGCCGATCAAGGTGAGAACGACCCTTCCTCGCTTTGGCTTAACGATCCGTCTTCTGGAATTGAAATCAGAGATTCGACCAACGCCACTGTTCCGGCGTCCGTTCCGAGCTCGAATAACAGTCACAACATCCAGTCAGTTGCTAAGCCAATGCAGTTTGAAACCCCTGTTTCGAGTACTTTAACTGAAGCACCAAGTGTTGTTCATGTCCCGAATACTCAATATGGTAACCAGCAACGGCAACCGGCACAGCAATCGCAGAGCCAGGGGTTCTTCTCGAAGGAGTTGAACTTTTCTGAATATGGGTTCGACGGAAACGGCCTAAAGAACGGGAATATGCATTCCTTGAAGCCGGAATCAGGTGAAATTTTGAACTTTGGGGATAGCAAGAGGAACTCTTATGGTGGGAATGGGAATTTCTTTACAGGACAGAGTCCATTCGTCGCAGAAGACAACAAGAAGAGGAAGTCACCTACTTCCAAGGGTAGTAACGATGAAGGGATGCTCTCGTTTACTTCCGGTGTGGTTTTGCCCACTTCTAACATGAAGTCTTCTGGCGGCGGCGGCGATTCCGATCACTCGGATCTTGAAGCTTCGGTGGTGAAGGAAGCGGATAGTAGCAGAGTGGTAGAACTAGAAAAGCGACCTCGCAAAAGAGGACGAAAGCCGGCGAATGGCAGGGAGGAGCCTCTGAATCACGTTGAAGCAGAGAGGCAGAGGAGAGAGAAGCTGAACCAGAGGTTCTACGCACTTCGTGCCGTAGTCCCAAACGTGTCAAAAATGGACAAAGCATCGCTTCTGGGCGACGCCATATCTTACATCAACGAGCTCAAGTCGAAGCTCCAGAATTTAGAATTGAACAATAATGATTTACAGAAGCAGCTGGATTCAGTCAAGAAGGAACTCGAGCAGGCCACTAGTAAAGATTCTCGTGCACCCCCACCAGACAAAGAACAAAAGACCTCAAACAACCAAGTAAACGGCAAGCTAATAGATTTAGACATCGATGTGAAGATCATAGGTTGGGATGCAATGATTCGAATCCAATGTAGCAAGAGGAACCATCCGGCAGCGAGATTGATGGCCGCTTTACAGGAGCTAGACCTGGAAGTGAACCACGCGAGTGTGTCGGTAGTGAATGATCTGATGATCCAACAAGCCACTGTAAAGATGGGAAGTCGATTTTACACACAGGAGCAGCTCCGGCTAGCACTTGCGTCCGAGGTTGGAGATGTTCGATAAGTCCTCCACAACACTGGGGATAGGTTTTGATTAGTGTATCTCGTCTTCATCCTCTTGATGTAGGACTCCGGGACAATTTTAAGGCTTCCCTGTAGCTGGCAATCCCTGTAAAATCCACTACTGTTCCATTGTCTGTCTTTGTATTTTTTTTGGGTAGCTATATCTATTTAATTTTGAGGTAATTTTCCATGGTTTATGTGGTGGGCAAAAGTAGGTAGTTCCGAGTGAGTGAAAACTGAGTATTTTTGTGCCAATATTGTCTGTCTAGATTGTACATATAATGTCATAAACTTGAACCTCATCAAATCTCTGCGCATTATCCATCTTACAGTAGGCCGATCACTGTTAATACAGATGCCAAGTCTCCAACACTCTGCGTCAAGAATTAATTTAAAAGAAGAAACTTTCTTGAATTTGTCCAAGTTCTGTTGAAGTTAGAAGAAACTTTCTTGAATCTGTCCAAGTTCTGTTGAAGTTCTATTGTCTGATGTATGTTGGGAAAACAGTGATGTGGTTGCTCAAGCTGGTGGTTCCCTTTTCAGCCATGTGAAAAATGCTTCAACCTTTCCCTTTCTGTTTCTGTTGGTGCTTGTTTCTTTTATGAGCATCCACATCTAGGGTCTATTTTCGTGTTTGACTTCCTCGCTCTCTCGAACTGGTGGAGCTCTTGGTTTTGTTTTTCCCAGTGACTTGAGATTTTTCTTGTGGTAACTACAAACCAGTTAAGTGTTGACCCCACCTCATTCCTTCCCCATCCCAACCCGTTCGTTTGGACACTGAATATTCACCGACAGGCTTCGTAGGAATATGGAAAGAAAATGCATCCGATCCTCATTTGCCCCCAGAATTGGTCGGATATCAGGTTTTGCTGTGTGTTCCAGGAATTACTGCCAGCGTTAGAAAGAGAGCCTAAAAAGGAAGAGATGACTTGTTCTTCGGTCTTCCCCTCATGCTGTTTCTTGCTTTCCTTATTTGTTTGTAACAAAATATAATAGCTAATAGGTAATTACTGGCTGTTGAAATCACCTCAAGTTGCGGTTCCATTTATGGGATTCGTCCTCTTAAATGATGTCATAATGTGCATATATGTCTGATAAAAGCTGGACAATATATCTGCCAAAACCATATTTTTCTTTTGTTTTATTATGGTATCTGGCAAACTCAATTTACCGCGCAGATGGATGCATTGAAGATCAAACGACCTTTGGTTGTCAGGAACATTAATTAATCATGGACATTTGGTAGCACGCCGTTACTTGTGTTGCTGCGGATATGAATAAGCCCTGTTGCTTAGTTAATGTGTGGCTAAAATGAAAGAGAGTTGGATAACTGAAAATGCTTCGCTGTGTAGTGCCCCACAAACAAACAGACAAATGTTTATAATCCTCCGACTTTAAATATAAGACTTTTTTTATAATGTAATTTAAACTATAAAAAAAAAATCTTATATTTAGAACTAAAAGAGTACATGAGAGCTCAAGGATTTTGCTGCTGAATATAATCAATATCCACAGCACAGACCTGCTTGGGATGTTTTCTTCTCCTTTTCACATCACCCACCAACCCATGATAATGCATTTGTATTTTAGAGAATAGTTGCATCTAAGTTCCTTATATTCATTATCTTTTGTTGACCAATCAGACATGGCTATGTGTCTTCATATCTCTCATATAGGTTTATAATTTAATGATAATATTTTAAAATGACAAATGACCATAATGGACATAAGTAATTGGAGCCAAGGAGTATTACTGATTTATGTTTTAAACCTTGATCGTCCCTCATAATCAATATTTGTTTTTAATAGATCAATTATGATTTTTTTGGTCATAACAGATCAATTATATCTAGTGGTGGAGCTTTTATGGCTTCAAAACACTGTGTTTAACACACCCCACCAAATTACCAAGTGGGGTTTACTGTATTTATAGCCTTATACCCTTCTTATCAGTCCCCTCGCCAACCTGGGATTAAGCTGAATAAGCAACCTTCCTTCCTATGAAAGACAAAATACAGAAATTAATTAAACAACATGATGAGATCAACCTAATTAGCCCATCAGGTGCACTGTTCTTGGGCCCACTACTTTTATGCTCACGCGCCCACAAAAATTAGGGCTTGTTTAGATTACAATTCGCTTTATCCCAACCATATTTTGTGAATTGAAATTTGAATAAAAATCAATTAGTGTAATATTTTATGTTTAGATATATTTCTATACAAAAATTTAATTTAAACACTGACTTTCGTAATCCAAAAGCTCTAAACTGTGTCTCTGAAGCCTAACTTGACTTTTGAAAAAAAAATCATCTGATTTCAATGTTAATCCAAACATAATTTCTTTTGGCTCAATTTAATTTTTAAGTTCGTAAATTAGTTTTCAAGAACTTTTAAAATTACAAAAATCAATCCAAATAAGCTTTTAACCTTCTAATGGTTTGAACTTTGAATTTCCCCATGTGAACCCTTCTGATCTGGACACCATGGAATAAAAAATTAGTGGTTATTACAGAATGAAGTTTTTTATTTTATTTTAAAGGGAAAGCCTATGAGAAAGATGAAAAATAAGCATGTCACGGGTGTAGATTCCCAACTGGCAAAAAAAAAGTGTCAGATATAAATCTACTAAAGATATTATGTACTTCTCCGGTCCTAAATATATAAATCTACATAATGAGTCTTATATTTAGGATTGGAGGAATAATTTATAAGAGATTCGATTTTCTTTGTCTTTCTTTCTTTTTTCTTTCTAATTTTAGTTTTTAAATGATTATTTAAGATTTCCACGGTTTGGTTGCTTACATTGAATGATTTCGACAGGAATATTTTTCTTTTTTGGAGAAAAACCAACATAAACAATTTGCTCTGTGCCCCATTTTTTTTTTTTTTTGGGAATATTGGGTGGATCGAGTGTTTAGTCAATGACTAGGTTGCTAAAGAGAAGTTGGAGAATGATTTAGACCTAAATTAAAGAAAAATGAACGAAGGAGAGATGCCACCAAAAGTAGCACTTTAATTAATTAAACCCATTTTCTTTAACAATGCCTAAAGTATTATGCACGCTAAACACACTTTTTTTACATAAATAACAAATAGCCAGAACCCCACATCCAATAATATTTGTACGTGAGGGCCCTGAAGTCATCATGGATATAATTATATATTCCTCCGGTCTTTAATATAAAACCCAATTCTTGAGTTGGTTTTGATCCTAAATATAAAACTCATTTATCATATTTATTAATTTTTTCTAAATTACCCCTATGAATACTCTCTCAACCATAATCAAGTAGAAGAGGGAGATGGGGTATTAAGAAAGATGATTATGATATTTTAAGAAAAAATGTGTCACTTTTCTTATAATTAACTAATTTATCTAACTTCCTTGATCTAATCAAATTAGTTAAATGGGTCTTATATTAAGGATCGGAAGAGTAATAAATCCCTTCTAACCCATACCAACTGACTTTTATATTAAATATGCAACAATATTTAATTTAAGGAAGATTGCAACGGCAGTTGGGTACCTTGGAAGATAGATATTTACATTTTAATTCTTCCAATCGGATATGGCAAAGAATTTAAGTTTCATTTTTTTTAGTGTAATAAAATTTTTTAAAATATAATGGATAACTACTAAAAAAAAAATTCCTTGTTTTCCTTGCTCTCCCTCCTTGCGGTCTTTTACAGGCTTATTAGGGATAGAGGTGAGTATTCAGTTTTTCGGTTTGGTTATTGGTACCGAATTAACCGAATAACTGAATATAACAAATTTTAAACACCAAACCGAAACCGATAACTGAACTAACCAAAACTGAATTGATCGAAATATTTCGGTTTTGAAAAGACCTCTTCTTAATATATAATTATAAAACCATTTTTAAAATGATAACCATGGTAGAAAAAGAATTGAGTTAGAGTGTTAAAATACTACCATGGTTATAAAGAGTTTGACTTATTTCGAAAACGTTCCAAGTAGCTCAGGATGCATAAAACACCCATGGGTTTAACAATGTAGAACAAAACCTCAAGGCACAGTAACCGCCCACAAGCCCAACATAATATTCATCCCACAAAGACTTAGGGCACAAGAAACACAGGGTGCTCAACCCAGCCCATAAGTCATACATCGCACACAGCAGATTCTTATGGCCTGCAGCCATTTTAACAGTATTCCATCAAATACAGTCATCCAAACAAAAGAAAGTATACGTCAACACAGTCGTGGGCCCTAAGATGGCAATATACATAACATTACATGCCTAAACCAAAAGACTACTAGGCTATGCTCACCTATGCCTCTGGTTTCTTCCCTTCACGTCGAGCCAAACTAGATGGCTCTCCTGAAAAGTATTGATGAATAGCGGGGTGAGACGTAAAGTCCCAGTAACCAAGTATTAATTTATGACATATACAAGTAGGATGGTAAGTTGGTGAAGTAGTGCTTAAATATAGTTTAAGAAATAAATGATACTTTAATAGATACAATCACATAAAAAGAGTATATCTCTCCATCCACAACACAATTCATATAAAAGTACGTATATGCAACAACACAATGAAATATGCCCTCCCATCACCTTGCTCCTCCTTATGACTCCTTGACAAGGACCCGGGCTTTCTGTGCTGAGTAACCCGGCCAAAGGTCACCCCATTCACATCAAGCAACGGGCCCCCTCCTGTACCTACACCGCCCAAGAATGGACTATGGTGCAAGAGGTGTATACCCAAGAGTTCGTTCTCAATTCCGGGCCAAGGAAAAGGAGGAACTACAGGGGTCTAACAAAAAGGCCAAACACTGGGATCAATAGTGTAGGCATGCCGCGCGGACTTCAAGAACAATTATTCTCCACATAACAAAATCCCAACCTCCACATATGAACCCCATGTATAGTCACAATATATATATATATATATATATTAAAAATCTCATAATTTTTCAAAGTAAGATGATATAATTTCAAACAAAATACGACACATTTCCATCATTTTTTTTTCAATAACAAAATATTAGTAAATTAAATTCAGCACCACAAGAAAACAAAATTTACAATAAAGCACAACTCAAGCATACTTAAATCAACAAACTTCCCACTTCACCAAAATTCGTCATATAAGAAAATATATATATTTTATTCATAGGCATACTTTCACAAATTAACTGGAGAAAATAAAAACATAATAAACACCTTACAATCCCAAGGCATGTATATAAAATAAATTAACCCCGGTTACCTCTACTCCAAGCTTAACCTCACAGCTTGAGAAATAAGAACGCAAATTACAAACTCCGAAGTACAAGATAATCTACAAATAATATAGATACAATTTAATATACATACAAATAATTAACTTAAATTACATAGAATTTATTATTAATAATATCTATACATATATTTACTATCCAAAAAAAATTCTTACTTCAAATAACAATTTTTCTCTACCCAAATAACTCATTTAAATTATAAATATTTATAAAATGTTGTTTTTATCTAATATTGTAAGAATCTCAATTTATAACTTAAGTTTCCAATTTCAAAATTTTTCTAATAATATAGTCTTAACCTATTTTACATTTTAAACCGATTAAAATATCAATAATACATTAAGTAACCCAAATAAGTTATTTAACTTAAATTTAATCGGTAAAAACATTCTATATATCTTGAATGATACATTTTCTAACCAAAATCTTAGTTTAAAATTCTCAAAACAATCAATAAACAACTATAAACCGATTAAAATTTTAATAATATATCAAACAACCCAAATAAATTATTTAACTTAATTTTAATCGGTATAAATATGATATATATCATAAGTGACAGATTTTTCAACAAAATAAATTTGATTTTAAATACCATAGGTACTAAATTGACAAATCTAAACCGATTAAAATTTCTTAATAATAAATCTTTAAATTCCTACGGTCAAATATCTTCGAAACTCAATACTTACTCTATACCCAAATCACAAAATTTTCTCCAAACATTATAATGATACTACTAATATAAAGCTCTAAATATATAGGAAATATTCATAAGAAAAAATTTAATAGAAAGAAGTGTTTAATGTACCTATATGATCCCCAAATGCTAGCACGTCCTTGCAGAAATCTTCACTCACTCTCTTGTTCTTTGTTTTTCTTCCTGCGTCTCTCACCCTCTCTTTCTCTATTCTACGTAATACTCCCTCCTCTATTTATCATTCTCATTTCAACCGTCCACCCCAAGTTTTTCTGCCTTCATTTATTATCCTTCGCCATTTTTTCCTCCTCCCTCTTTAATTACCCGATCGAAATTCTTCTTCGCCTTCAATTCACCCTACTTTTCCACCAACTTTGGTGGAAAAGTTGGGGGTGTATTGTTTTTTTTTTAAATTAATAAAATATTATTATTTAATAATAATAAAATATTATATAATATATTTTTTTTTGTTTTTTTTTGGAATGTTACAGGTTTGGTTAACCGATTAACCGAAATATATAAATATGGAAGTGATTTTAAATTAATAATAATAATAAAACACAATTACAACCATTAATTATTAAATATTTCATCATTTAATGTGATTTATTATAACCATATTTATTGAATGTAAATATATTTAAAGAGTTCACATAAATCTACATATATATTTATTATAATAATATTTATTAAATACAAATATATAATATATTTATTTCGGTTTTTTGGTTAGAACCAAAAATTTTTTTAACTAACCGAACTAAATTCCGAAACCGAATTATTACAAAAATAAAAACCGAATATATAACCAAAAGTCGAAATAACTGAATCGAAAAACTGAAATTAAATTCGGTTTTGTTTTTCTCACCCCTAATTAGGGATGGGCTCTAAAGTCCTTTTTTGCTCATATAACCCATTTTTCAAAGCTTGACCCCATGACGGGAAAAAAGGGTCTTACTTGGACAACCCGGTAGCCTAGCCGGATAACCAGCTATAGCTCCAACCATAGCGACTTTGACCATTTTAGGACACTGCTTTCTTCTTCTGCTTTTTCTTTTTATTTATAAATTTTATGAAAAGGCAAAATGATACTTAAAAAAATAAAGCATACAAAATTAGGGGGTCACAATAATAAAATGACAGAAGCAGAAATTAAAGTATTGAGAAAAATAAAGAGACTAACAGAAATAAAGTAAATAGTAGAATAATAAGATGATAAAAAAGAAATATAATGCAACAAGGTGCTGGATTAAACACCAAAGTGTTGATATACGCTATGAAACTTTTTTTTTTTTCGTGAGTTGTCATCAATTAATCTTTGATATAAGTATTTGACCAGGTCATATTTGAGTATTACCAGGGGCAGCTCTCTCAAAAATATATATATTTTTAATTTACATAGACTCGAACTCAAAATTTCATATTGAACCGAAAATCCTTTTTACAAAGACTATAAATATCCCCCTTTTAGTTTGTGCACGTGTGTGTGTATATATATATCATTTATATGTAAAATCAGAGTTCAAAAGCACATTACTAAAGGGGTGTTTGGGTAAGAACAAAATCATGGTTTCAAAAATATTTTTACGGTATACGAAATAAATATGTGGAGGAGTTTGTCTCGATTTGCAGAAAAGTACTTCTGAAAAGTAATTATGGGGTATTCCAAATACCCCGCAAGTCATATTGATGCCTATGAAGTAAGGAGTAACTGCCACATGGTATCACTATCAATTAGTCCGAGGCCATATCAATAGTATTTAATTATTTACTATTACGCTCAATGACACACACGGTTATGTAATGCTGTGTGTTCTAATTAAAGAAAGTTAGTGCGCAATTAAAAAAAAAAATAATTATATTAGTTGAACAATAAATGCTATTACTTTCGGTCTTTAATACAAGACTCGGTTGACTAATTTAAAAAAATTACTTTAAAATTTAAAGTATTTATATTTATCATTTTTTAAAACTAATTTACCTCACTTATAAATTGCAATGAATAAAAAACTGGAACGAACCAGCCAGTGTAACCGAAAAACTAGTCAACTGGTTAGTGGTTCAATTTGGTTCAAGCACCAAACTGGCCACAAATTGACCCGGTGGCAAACCAGTCAAACTAGGAGTGAACCGGTGGTAAAAATCAGTGTGAACTTGTGATGAGCCGGTTTGGATAATTATACTACTATTGATCTTATTTTTTTTCATTTAGCTCCTAATATCTTAGTCATTATGGATTTGAATGAATTTTAATGATGAATTTGGTATCAATAATTATTAATTTTGGTTATTAAGGAATTATAAAGATTAAAATTTTCAATACTGTTATACTTTGTTATTGTTACAATCAAACTATTATTGTATTTTCTTGTATTTTGTTATTAGTGATTATTATAGTTATTGTATTTTGTTATTTTTAATTAGATTATATTATTTTAATATGACCAGTTTGATCCTAGTTGGACCTTGGTTTTACCCACTAACTCTTGAACCACTACCTTAACCGGTTTAATGTCTGGTCCGGTTTTTTGTTTCTTGATAAATTGATAGAGACCATGTAAAATGTTATAATTAAGTAATTAAATAACTTTCTTATTCTCTCCAAATTAGTTCATTGGATCTTATATTAAGTATCGGATGTAGTATTATAAACATGCTACTCCTCTGGTCCTAAATATAAGATCTATTTTTCAGCGTAATTTACACTACAAAATAGGTCTTATATTTAGGATCGGAGGGAGTATTAAATTAAAATCACATTCTAGATTTCTAGTTGTACTGTACAAAAGTATTATCATTACTTAAAAATTCACATATTAGAAACGATATGTTTTTTTGTTACGAAATTTATGATCATAGCTTAAAAATTCACATATTAGGAATTTTTTTTTGACAGGAAAATTCTCCTCATAACTATATCAGATTTCGAAATTTATACTTTAGATAAAATATCCATGTTCAAATATCCTACTTTTCTGCCCCAAAAGAGCATGATTTTGCAACCCCCCGGTGATCAATTATTAGTTGTCACTACAATTCAAATGCAGAATTAAAAATTTTAACATTCTGTTTGGTGAGAATGCAGATGATCTATATTTAGTTAGTTCAAGCGCACGACCAAATACCTAACAATACTTAATGACGCAGCCATGTAAAATTTACATCAAAGGGTGTCAAAATTTGGCCGTTAAGACAGTGATTTCAAATCCATCTCAAAACTGTAAATTGCATCATCTTTATTATTCCAGAATGCAAAATAGTTTGACCCCAAAAATAACAAGATATGACTATACAATATCAAAACCATATCAGAAATTACGGATAAGAACCAAATATAGCAACCTATTGTTCTTTCCTTAACGAATATCAGTTGCATTCATTCATCTTCTCATACGTCATCCCCTCAATGTAGCTTATATATAATCCACGTTTCACAACCCCACTTCATTCATCACCCACCATCTCCCTTCAATCCTCCCATATTCACCAGCCCAGAAAGAAGAGCTTAATTTTGTTGCTTGGAACGCAAGCAAAACAATGAGTCTAAGCTGTCTTACCTGCAGCCAGGTTCTTCAGAAGACAGATTCTTTTAGGGAGTATTCCTCGGAAAAGCCCGGCCTTAGGAAAGTGCGTTGTACGCCGGTGGAGAGAACATGGTCGGGGAATATTGCTCTGGAAGATCAAGATCGAAGACAAGAACCTTTGGTGAAGATCAAGAGAGAACATCGCCGTGCTCACAGTACAGGGTCTGCTGCTTTTCCGGGCAGCGTCGAGCCGAGGCTGGTGAGGAGCCCTGGGATGAGAAGAGACTGGAGTTTTGAGGATTTGGCAGGAAAGAATGAGGAGGGGTTCATGTGCCCCTAAATTGATTAATCATCTGTCAAAGCATTCAGAATGATTCATACCTTTCTTCTTCTTCAGCCATTTCATTCATTTATATATTTTGATTCATTGATACATCGATGCTGACGGGAGAATGAGATGACTCAAAACGTGCATATTCAAAGGGGTGGGATGGTTTGTGCATTGTAAATCGGTGTTTCAAGCGCTTGATACAAACTCATCAAGCTGCTTTTTTTACGCCTTAATTTGCAATATAATACATATCCCTTAACTTTCTCGCGTATGCAGCCTCCGCTTATGAACGCAATTTCCGCATTACGTGGACTTTTTAAGCTTTTTGCAACGTAAACTGCATTATATGTGTAAAAAAACTAAAAATCATTCATGAGAGTGGCGTAATTAAGGCAATACAAATGAATGGACGCAAATGACATCACATGTCATGTCGTTGTTTAGAGGGCAAGTAGGGTGTTTACGCAGGGAGGAAACAGATAAATGGCAGACACAGGTAAGTGGTTTCTTTTGTTTCTCGATGACCTGATGATTACTTGCAATAGTTAAGGCAAACTTCAAACCTTATCTTGTTTAACACAGAGGGCAGTCTAATGAACGTTTCACCACAACATTCTGCGAAGATGATCTTCCGATATAGTTCTTGCTACAAAAAGATCAGAGATTCTAAACTAAGCTAGGCGTGTCTTACAATGGTCTTCTACATCTGCAACAGAAAAAATTCGCAAATTACACAATAACTTCCTCGTATGAACCTCAGTAAAATTCAGGTATTTAACATATCTTAATGCAGCATTCTTTTACATCATATAATGTCTATTATACAACAAAAGACCACTGCGCAGAGTGAATCTTTTTAGAGAAAAAGGGAATAATACTAGTTTTTCTTTTTTCTAGCTTCTGCTTTCCAGTCTCTTCGACTCAGTACAGTTCTAGGAGTTTCATTGTTAACAACAACAGGAGATCCAGACTGGCTTTCCCTTTCCTGCGTCATGTCTGCCTTCCCAGAGGCTAAGCGTGCTGCTTCAGGTTCACTGGCTAGTTTGGTAATATGATCAATAGATCCATTAGGTGTCACTTCTTCACGTTTAAGAGCGTGAGCCCGTCTTGCATCTTTTTTCCAATCTCTATTACAATATACGCGGGTCATAAGATTGTGATTGCCTGTTGATTGTGGTTCCTCTTGTGGTGTTATGGGTGTGATGTCTCTTGCCACAGAAGACTTCTTGGTTTCAGCTTCAAGACGCTTACGGGCTCTGTATCTACGTTGACGCTCTCGATTCTTTAGGCGTCGAGTCAGGATGTCACTTCGGCCTTTAATATGGGCTCTTTGGTCAATAGGCTTCATCATAGACTTATCTTGTGTTCCACCAGCACTCACAGTTTGCTTGTTTTCCATTTTCAGCATGGGATTAGCATCTTAGCATCTGCAGACATCAAGTGAAATGAGATATTACACAATCGTTTTATATGCATTCCACTCTATGCAGATATGTCATACTCTCATTTAGTAACCTCTCCATCCTAGCTTATCACATAGTATCCTAGCCAATGAACAAAGGACATTGTAGCAACTAAATGCCCTAAAGAGCAGCATTCTGCAGTGGATAGTGAAAAAGTTTTTGGGATCCAATCAGTGCCTCCGCTTCATTGGGAACTCACTAAATAAAAAAAAATTCCCGGAAAACAAAGAAAGAAAAAAAATGGAAACATATGTTATTAGAGCCAAAAGAGGTAGAGATGACTAATAAATTTCTTTGGACCTGATAATTGTCTGAACATGACATTTAAGAGAAAAACGCGGTATTTGAAGAATTAAGCATAACAAAAGATGTCACCATCTGCAATGATGAGATAATATAACACAAATCAAACTAAAACTAACCCCATCAACATAAAGCATTTAATATCCTTAAAAAAAAAAAAAAATCTTTCCATGACACAAGCTTCCCTTCAAAATCGTCAAGTGAAACAAAATGACTTTAGAATGACAACCCTTGAAATTCCGCTTTTCAGAGGAGTTTAAATATAAAGAAACAAAGAAAAAATGCAACTTATTAAAGAAGAAATGCTGGTTTCAGCAAAAGGGAGAAAGGAGATGAGATTAAGTTGAAAACTGTAACGATTTCAACCTTAGCCCCTAAACATCTCATTTATACTAGTGGATCTGGCCAGCAAGGGCCATGATACAGCAAATTTCTCATTACTCAGTCTCATTCTCATGCACTCCTGATTAGTTCATTGATAACTCACTCAATCATATTTGCTGATCAGTCAACACTCCTCTGCCTCTTTCTCTTGTTAATTACTTTTTTTTCTTTAAATCAATTCAATCAATTATTCTTGAATTTGGTTATCCAACTCTCTCCCATAAAATGAAGCATGGATTTTTCATTTGCTCATCTAGAAAACATTGTTCCACAGCTCAAAAAGGAAGGTCGGTGAAACATTGCAACAATCCGGGCTACTAGTAAACCCTTAGAGCATGACAGCTTCTAGAACTCTTACATGGCAGCAACCTCGTTAACATTCCTCAGGTTCTTCTCCTATGGACAGCTCTCTAGAGTCTTTTTTCTCTTTTTGATACAGCTCTCTGTTGTCTTTAATCTGTTAAATACTTGTTGGCCTTCTCTTGGCTGCTCTGTTAAACTCAATAAGAAGGCTTCTCAAGCTCTTCAATCCACAGCTCTTCAGTGGCCTATTCAACTTTATCCCACAGGTACTCAAGCCACTCACTTTTCTGGAGGCATTGCTGTTGACATGATTAAAAATAATTGCTACTAGTCCTATCAACAAAAGCGCATCATGCGCGTGCTAGTGTGCACACACATAGAGAGAAGGCAAAAATTGTCAAGAACAAGATGCTCCATCGAGACTAGCTAGTCCAAGCCTGGATAAAGGAGAAGGATTGTATTAGGCTCTTGATTGCTAATGTAAAATTCATCTCTATTGCACGGATCAAGATGCTCAATTTTGACCCCTAAAGAATTTAAGCGTACTAGTAGTCAAGGCAAGCGATATTGCGAATCCCAGAATATTCCCATCAAATCTCTCAATCTCCTTTTATTCTAATTCCTTAATTCTAATCCATTTTTCAGACAACTCAGTTATACAAGTCTTAAAAGTAAGACCCATTTGTAGTGTAAATTACACTACAAAATGAGTCTTATGTTTAGGATTTAGGATGCAGAGGGAGTATTGTTTAACTAATCAACCTCCAGTATCTTTCTCTCCCTCATTATTCTTGATCATCCAACAATACAAATAAGCGAAACCTCCTTTATTTATCAATCTTATGTCAACATAACCAGATCTAAATTAGGACATACAACTTATAGAAGAAGATCATAAACTAGTAAGCAAACTATAATTTCAAGTAGAGTGGCATTACTTGTCTGGAAGTGCTTCTAAAGTTGCCTTCAGGATAGTTCATGCAATCATGCCTTAATTGGGCATTGATGCGATCGATACGGCACTATTTGTATCCAGTGGTTCAGTGATCCCTCCGATTAAATAGGGATTAATATTAGTCAACACCATATTTCATGACGAAGACAACAATTAACATCATCTAAGATGAGTATTTGAAGCCATGGTTATCAAGTGATCCTAAAAAACGCATACATTATGATGTGGGTGTAGCATGTGAAAGCATCAGTAATATGAGAAAGTCATCACCACCTCGTATCCCCGCCCCACTAATTCAAAGGCATTACAACAAAAAGATATGCAATCAGCCAGCTCCAACTCCATATAATTCATCTAATTTAAGGCCACTTGAATCAATTGCTAAACTAAAAGGCCGCAGCACAATGCCTTTAGAAGAGAAAGCAGCAGCAAATCCGGGAATGAAAATAAAACAAAAAAAGGAACTTCCCAGACAAGAAGCATGTATAGTTCGAGAGAACAGGACCAAAAAGTTTGCGCTAAAACCGCAGAAACCGGAAAGAGAACACTTTCGGTCGGGGGATTTCCCGTCCGGTAATCAGAGAAAGACAACCCAGGATATGAACACAGATTTCAAGGTAAACTGAGATGAATTTGAAACCATAGGTGCAAGTGAAGAAAGAAAGCACAAAGCTGCCGCATTACCTTCTGAACGCAGATCTGTACTTGGTCTTTGAGATTCTTACATACCCAGAGTGACACGAAGCTTTTACACGCTAACTGAGAGAAGTTATTCATATGGGTTGGTGAAAACAGACAACGAGACTTGAAAAAGTAGACGCGAAGACGGGAGCCGAAAAAGGAAGGCCAATTTAGCTGGATATATATTTTTTTTTGGAGGGTGGGATTCATTCTGTCCATGGGTTGGTGCGGCTAGGTGCTAAGTGTGTTGTTCAACTTTTCAACTTTTGACATCCAAAAGGTCGTGAGTTCGAACCTACTCAAGCTCTTTACATTTTCCTCTCCACGATTGCATACAAGACGGCTAAACATGGCTAAGCCCAAAGATCAAAGGTCAGTGAAGAATTCTTTGCATAATATTTTTTTCCCTCTGGCGATGTAGGGAGAGCAAATACACAGCCTCCGAGGAGTGTGCTTCTGCTTCCTCAGACAGGATAGGTTCGCCTTAATGTGAATGGTTTTGCGGATTAGAGAGCAAGCCATATGAAAAGAACTAACACACGCACTACAAGCAAGGGCAATTAGATCAGAGGTCTTATCAAGAACAAGAAGTTGGGATTCTTTTAATTGGTCTTAACTTTGCAAAGCAAGTGTACAGGATACAGCAGTATCATGAAGCCTAGTAGGATCTGTCATGGCCAGACCACACAGCACCGTGCTCTGTGGCCCTCAACTTTATTTGCTCTCTCTGGTCTCACTCCTTCAACCCAGTCGTCCTGTGAATCCCAGTGGCCACCACTTTCATGGCATGGCCCAGAATCTCCATAGTCTGCCTACTTCCTGAAGTACTTCATCTGTTTTTTCTGAACTCAAAAATGGGTATGCATAAGGAGATATCATTAAGAGTCTACAAAGTAGATTGGAAATTATCTGTGACTGGGGCAGAGGGTGATTCAATTTGTAATCTTGGATGAGGTCAAGAAACAAAAATGTAATCGTGATCATATCAGGGAAGCAAGAGATGAGTCATCAACTAGCAAACCTATTACCTAAATAGCATTTGATGTTTAATATTGATGATATATTACACTTAGGAGAAAGCTTTACCAATAGTATATGTCGTATATCGTTGCTGCAATCTATCAATTTGTGATTTGTGCTTGCATAGGCTGGCAGGGGTTAGCTTGGATTTTCTTATCTTGGTTGTTTTACTTGTTATTGTATTTGAAGACATGGTAGAATTTACTCACTGAAACCTCGTTTTCAGTTGCAGGAAAGATACACTTCAAGGTTGGGTTTTTTTTTGGGGGGGGGGGGATATCAGGCGTTTATGTGATAATCTAGGTTTGAGGTCTGACACAAGTCTATGAAATATAGTTATTAAAATTTGACCTTGTTTTAATTTTAATCCTTGGAGTTTGATCTCATTTTAATATGTATAAACATTTTTTTGTCTCTGAAACAGTGTTTTTGGCCCCTAAAACAAGATTTTAAGGACCAAGTCCACTGGTTTCAAATTTCAGATATCAAAACTAAAATAAAATCAAGTTTTGACTACTAAATATGGTATTAATAGGATTAAAAGACCTTATGATGCTCTATTATGGTGGAGACATATGGTTTCAAAAGGATTAAAAGACCTTATAATTATGTCATACCCTAATTAAGTTTTTAACAAGCTTATAATTATGTCATACCCACTCGTAATCCTTATGTTTGTGTTTGTCATGTGCTGCTTCTACGCGAGCTGTGACAGTATATGACGATTTGCTTTTAGTTGCTCCTTCTGTCTCAGTTCAATTTGTTTTGATTCTCGGTTTAAATTTCAATTCGAATTATGTAAATCTTGCTTGATTTTGACTGTGGAAATTGACATTTTATTATGAAAATTCGGATTTAAATTTTGGTTTTGCCGTGGTCGGTGGGGAAAGAGGACTACAGCCTAGAGCAGGCCAACGAAGGGGGAAGGTGGTAGAAAAATGGCTGAGGCCATTTTAGTCTTTTTATTTTTATACAAAAACTATATATTTCTTTATATTTTTATTTATTTATACAATTTAAACACAAATACACACACATACATACATACCAATGTCAAAGTGGAACACAAGACTTTATTTAAATATGATAAGCTATGCTGTCACTAGGATAATTTATTATTGGCAATTTCCTTTATCCTTTTATCGTTTTTTAATGGGGAGAATTTCACAAAAAATTTGAAATTAGTAAATCCTAAATTAAGTTTGGTTTCAACACTTCAATATAGATTTTGACAATATTGACTTTGCAAATAACAGACAACACATTTTTATAAAAATTTCTTATTTAGAATTTAGTGATTTTAAGCTTCTTCTTATGAGATTCTCTTCTTTCTTTCTTTCTTTCTTTTTTTTTAAATATCAAACATGAGAGGAAGAAGGCAAATATCCTCTGTTTTTTTCCTTCTAAATTTTTTCCATGAAATATACACATATGCTATGTTTTTAATAATAAATATTTTTTTCCTATAGGCTAACAGTAAAAAACTAATTTCTCATACAAAAGCGAAACAAAGATCCTTCCTGATTGGATTTGTTTCATTCATGCATAAGAATGCAAAATCAAAACCCTCAACAATTATCTTTTTTTTTTTTTTGGGTCAAAAACCCTCAACAATTATCCAAAGATGTAATAAACATTTCACATTTAAAAATTATTATTTTTTATTATATATCTTTTACAAGAATGAATAATATCTTACAATTTTTATGGACCTCTTACTCTTGATATTATGAATGATTAAGACAGAAAATTTTCCGGTCACTATCTAGATTGCAATCATTGTAATTACCGGTCTAACTTCTCTGCTCCACTTATTTCAAATATCTATGACCTCAACTCTATGATGAAAAATGATAAATATTACTCACAAATTATAAAATAATATGTTTTATTTATTAAATTTCATTCAACACACAAAAATCTCCCTAGCTAACATTTATATGGAACAACAATTAATGTACATATGTTGAAAATGTTAAAAATAAAACTGAATCAAAAGAGTGAACTTTGTTTTGGTATGTAGGACACATTGGCCATGACTGCAAGTAACTAGTAAACATACAAATTGGTGTTCGGTGTTCTCACACACACACATGTATGTTAAAAGTAGAGATTTAATATTTATACTTATTACATTTTTTTTTAAAAATTTCTAAATTTAAAAA